GGTGTGTTGGAGCAGAGAAGCAAGTAAAACATGCAGGGCTGCGGCCCTCCAGGACCAGGATTGCCCACCCCTGGTCTAATTTGAGTTCTTGCAAACACAAAAACGAGAAGCTGATCCAGAATTTGACATTTTTGACTCGACAGCTGAAAAAATTGGAGCAAAGACAATTCTGAGAGGTRTGTATTAAAGAGACAGGAGTAAAAACTAACCAAACAAAGAAAATCTATTTTAACAGATTTTTTTAAACAATTCTTTTTGGCAATATAGCTTATGGTGGGCACGTGATAGGCAGCACCTGGGGGTACCAAAAGCTCAAAACAAGTGTTAATAGCAACAAAAAAGAAGATTTGTTAAATTTCTGATGTGTGCAACCCACATACTGAGCCCTACTGCTCATCCCACAAATGCATATTCCTTATAAATGTGGCACCATTTAAAAGGGAAACTAGCAGGCTTTCCAACAATAAAAGATTGGTTGTCAAGAAGCATTGTTACAAAGAAATAAACTACCAAACATTTCTTTTTACTTTATGTGCCGAGTATAAAAAAGTGCTACAGGCAAGAAATATGAGAAAATTGTCGAACAAACATTGAAAACACTTTTTAGGCAAGATAAATACATTTTTATGTAATAAATGCAATTTGAAAGGAAAAATCCATTGGTTCATAGGCATTTTTATTCATTGCTGTGCCGAGTTCACAAGAAGTGTTTGCATTTATCAGTGAGTTTATCCACATTAACTCCTCATWCAGAATCTGGCAGCAGCTCATTATAATCTGTTTCTGCTTTACTGCTCAGTTAATCATTTAGGGTCATAAAACCCATGAAGTGTGCTTGGTTTCACAGACAAACGTCCTGTTTTTACCCTGAAGACACAGTTCGAGGGACAGATTATAACAAACATCTCTGCTGACGTTCTGCATGAGCTGAATCATCTGCTGTTGATCAATCTCCGATTAGGTCAGGACACATGTGGAAAGGCAAGCAGCTGTGTGATATTAGGAGGGAACAAACACAGAAATCACAACACGGTGAGATTTTGCTGGGGAAGAAAAACAAGTCCTGATTTAAACCGCTCTCAGTGTGACGTTACAACCCGCACCTGGTTCTTCCATTTAGAAAGACACTGCATCCTAAGGCCCTGGTTGTGTTAACTTTAGGCAGAGAGCCGCCTCGATGTGGGCGGGGATCACAATTAAAAACATGCAAACCTTTTTTTATTTTATTTGCGACACAGAAGCGCCTCAAACTCGAAGGAAAAGTACCAAAGGCTGTAACGGACCATCCAGCAGAACGATGCTGAAGAGAGGCAAGACGACAGAGGAGAGAATGCTAAGCTAATGGTAGCTTGTTGTTAAGTTGAGCTCATATGAAAAAAGTAAGTTGGGCAGTATGACCTCAAATTCATATCATGATATAAACTGAATCCCTTCACAGTAACAGTATATGTCGTGGTAGAAAGCTATCATAAAAAGCAAAGATACTGTAATTTCTACAGCATTTATTTTGCAGAAAACTGCAATCATAATCAAACCCAGCATTTTTTCTATAGTGCAAATGAACATAACAGAAGTACAAAAGAATGCTTTATATATATTGCAAAACAGTTTCAACAACAAACAAAAACATCGTATTCACACCTGATAGTCCGGTAGACTCGGTTCGATTGGGGACCAAAACTGCAAGCTTTGTTTACATTTTCTGTTGGTGCGGTTTGAATTCACACTGCACTTTCTCAACCGAACTTAATCCTGTAAACAACCTGTTCCCGCCCTCACCTGTGGGGGGCGCTGCACCAAGAACCACTAAAGGAATCAACATGAAAACCTCAGAAGACATGGAGCGCTGCTTCCTTCTTCATAAAATGTAAACAAACAATAGTAACGTTACATTTTAGTGGTTATAGGGTTTATGTTTTGTTTTTGGCAAATGTGCTAAACAAATAGTCTTCAACAATGCATGAGAGGCATGAGAGGAAGATGAGGCGGAACCTCGGAGATTATTGTTTAGCACACAAGGCGGCTCCGTGTTAACCGAGCAGAAGCACGTCCAGCTCCACAGTCATGATGTCCACCTTATTTATACAGTCGTCCAGCAAGGTATTTACACCATATAAGTAAATTTATTACTGTTATTACTCAGAATGTCATGCGGTATAGTCTGCTTCCTGCTTTTGGAGCGGTCTCTGGTCCGCTTAGCGTTCACACATGCACTTATCGTGATCATGTACATGTCTTAACCACTAAGTTGAAACAGAAATTATAGGTTTATTCAAAAATTAGATCCAATCTGACATCTTCTGTTTCAAATATCTATCTTCATGCCATTATACTCTCAACCATGTCGTACTGTTTACKTGTTTGGTCTCTTACAACAAATGAAATCTTAGAACCCATAGTTAGGCTCTACAACAGGGCCTACAACATTCATAAAAAACTTCCTGGTTGGACTCATCACTGTACAGTTCTTTCATTGTCTGATGCCTTGACTTTTCAGAATTATGTTTTGTATAGTGGTATTAATTTATYTTTTCAGATCTTCCAAGGTGCCAATTATGGAACTCTCTGTGCATTGCTGCCCAAATCAAATTCTGGAAGTGGTCATTCAACTAGATCTGTTACAAATGGACAACTGATATTACCAACTTTTAAAAACTGTTACGSCCAGAGGTCTTTCTTCTATGTTTATACTAATGCATGGGATGACATTCCTCAAAACATGAAGTCCATTTCAAAACTACAGCCCTTTAAGAAGAATCTTGTCTGCCATCTGCTGGATACTTTCTGTTGTGCTCATATTTAGACSTCCTATTTTGCAAATGCTGCCTTTTTGAAATTTGGTATGCTTGTTWGTCTTTGTGTCTATGGTGTATAATGATGTGATTGTGATGCTGTAATTCTGAGTGTTTTATGTGCTGCAGAACAGGAACCTGCTGTAAAACAGCAATTATGCTGAGTCAGGCTTGATTTTTAGTAATCTTTTCSTGTTAAATAAATAAATCAAAATCAAATCAATCGAATCACACCAGAGTTTGTTTCAATCGAACCGAGACCTAGGTTTTCAGGTGGACCAGAGTTCGCTTTTTTGGTCCGAATCAGAGTTCGATTACGTGTTCACACCTCCCCAAACGAACCGGACTTTCCAGGCAAACAAACTAGAGTTCGATTAAATTGGACTGAACAGTGCAGGTGTGAACACAACCAAATTTTCAACAATACTAAAATAAAGTGGATGTTTAACCAGTACTTAAAGTAAAATTAGTCATTTAAACATAAAAAATTTGTAAGTTGGCATAAGTTGCCTAAAATGTTAAGTGTGACAGGACCTAAAGGACCTTAAACTGCACATAGTCCTATTCAAAAAACAGTTTCACATAACTGAAATATAAGTGTGGTGAAGCCAAATAAATGTAATATCAGCCTGCCATACAATGAGCCTCTACCTGCTGAACTTATCAGCTGGTGCTCTCAAAGCAGAACTGTTACATTAGCAAGATAGATTTATGACTGAACGACCTCCACGTCTTATTTTATCATCTGTGTGGGTAACAATACATAAAAGTTTTTTTTCTCAGACAACTTGGATGTGAAAAAAACTACGGTTGTTAATGATTCYCTTTGCACGWCGTGCAGKGAGGGAGGGAGGAAATGATCCCGCGACATGACGTAACATTTCTACAGCAAGAGTGGCAAATTTTGAGGATTTATTCTCTCTATACGTGTTTTAAAACACTTTATTTCTTCATTTATTTTCTGAATATTTGGAACTCCTCCTGCTCAGTTGTRTCTGCACTCACAGCCATGTTGACACAGGTGTGACGACGTAAACAACAGGGCAGTAGAGGGTAAATTTCTACCGTAGGCCAACTTCATATTGTTTCTACTGTCTATTGCATTTACCGTGCAGCCCTAGAAAAAAGGTRACAGTTTTTGCAAACTATTCACATAAAGTTTCTCATCTGTGTGATGTTTGGATTGTCCTCTTCAAACAAATCCATCAGAACATACGTCCTAAAACTTGTTTCAAAGGGCAAAGCTGTTCTTTATCTACCATGCAGTGAGAGGTGATTACAGTGTGCAACACGAACACATCAGGCAGACTACAGTCAGCCTACCTGACTTCCCAACATTGCTGTCTGCTGACGGAGACTTTCTCATCACAGCTGGCTCTATATTTACATACAACGCATTTAACAACAGGAAGGCCCAGACGACGGGGAGAAAAGTCAGAAAGCAGYTGGTGAAATTTCTCGACCTAAACCAGAAAACGGAGACATCAAGATGAAGCTGCCCGTTACCTTTGGTGGGTCCTCTACGGGTCCCCATGGCCTGCTGCTCCTCGGACAGGTTCAGCCTCCGGACCACGTCGGCCAGGGCGGACTTGAGCAGCTGGATCTCGTCCTCCTGCATCTGGACCCTCTGCTCCAGGGAGGCGATGCGGTCGGTCACCTCCATGCTGCTGGCAGCCGACGCGCTGTCATCTGAGGAGACGCAGAGGGTGAAGGATGAGCCGCTTTAAATCTTTGTTTCATCCACCCTGAACCTGATTTTATTATAGTCTCCTGCTTCAGTCTGYAGCGGGTCAAAGTTCTGATTCTTCTGCCTGTTTTCATTATCTGTCTGCTTGTTTAACAGATTATTATTATTATGTCTCCACCTGACACACAGATACAGACCAATCTTTGACCACCAGGGTTCACTTCATTATGAAAACACACACACACACACTCCTGAGTGGGGTCTCCTCTGTTTGATGTCACAGAGTGATGAAATATTCATGTAAATCTCCCCTGTGTTTTCCCAGCAGACCTGTAATAACAGCCTGATGCATTATGCATGAGAACGAGCTGCTCCAGGTGATTAAGCTGATCTGAAGTTTGTATTTAAGACCCCCTCCCTCCGCTGCTGCTCTGAAACAGCTCTTGACCTCTTTAAAAAACCATCAGGTGCAACAAAATTTGATTTCAGACACGTTGCTGGAGGCAGTGACACAATGAGAAACAAATGTTTCTTCTTATAAGATTCATGATATTTCCGACCAAAAAACCTTCTGCAAACATTTGCTCTCATATAAGTGGACTCTGCAGGGATGTAAGAGGAAATGAAGTCCACTAATTGAATTACTGTAGTGGAATGGTACTCTACCTCAACTTTGGCTTTAATGGACAAAAATGTTCATCTTCTGATGGGTTTGTGACCTTTTGACCCCAATGACGTCTGCTGATACCTTTTTTTATGAAATTTGGTTGGTTTATAARGAAGCCATTGGTAGTTACATTTTCTGTACCCCTAAATTTGATTGCCACAATGTAAAAGAGGTGTGGTCAAAAAGCGGTCCCGAGGGGTGCCTACTGGGACCCGTTGATTTATATGACTGGATTGGACATGGTTAGCGCGTTGCTAGCTACATGGACGTGCGCACACTGGAGCTCTGTTATGCACTGAAGAGGCATCAACAAAGTGAAGACATGTTAATGGACTGTGAGGCGTCATCCTTTAGAAAAACTCTTACAAAGTTCTTATTCTTGCTTGATTTTCACAAACTATAGTTCAAAATAAAGCTGAGGAAATTGTGAATTTTATGGTTTACAGAATTTAAAAAATAACTTATTTAAATGACTAACAGTGGCTTAAAATAAGCATTTTGTGTTTCACGTTTTTTGCGTACAAGTCAATGAGTTCTGAGCAGCTGTCATTCATTCATTCATTCATGTATTTATTCAGACTAGATAGATAGATAGATAGATAGATAGATAGATAGATA